CAACTTTAGTACGCGGAGCAATCTGTAGAGCTGGAAGCTGAGAACTGGCGACTTTCTAGTACAACTTTAGTACGCGGAGCAATCTGTAGAGCTGGAAGCTGAGAACTGGCGACTGTGTAGTACAACTGCAGTACGCGGAGCATCTGGGGAGCTGGAAGATGAGAACTGACTGGCGACTTTCTAGTACAACCTTAGCACGCGGAACAACCTGTGGAGCTGGAAACTGAGAACTGGCCACTTTGTAGTACAAGTGTAGTACGCGGAGGAGTCAGCTCTCGCTGCTGTGAGTCATCTCTCGCTGCTCATTCATCTCTCGCTGCTGAGTCAGCTCTCGCTATAGCCATCTCTCGCGGCTGAGTCATCTCTCGCGACTCAGTCATCTCTCGCTGCTGAGTCATCTCTCGCGGCGTGCAGGTTTGGCACAGTTCATACTGATAGTATTTGGTTGCATTTATGCAGGACAGGACATTCAACTGCTGGTCAATACACCACTCATCATACACCACTCGTCATACACCCCTCTTGTCGTGGCAAAGATACAACCCAGTACGCTGTTGTGAGCTGCTGATCCTGCAGGGGGCACACACCTTACACACGTGGAATCCCGTGGGTCAAAAGTCCGGAGCGCGTGCGTTTGACTGGAGGACGCGCATGTTGGGGAGAACGTGGACACTCCTATAGGTCAATTTCTTCTTATAGGAAACTTCCGCCGCCGGCTTGCCCGGGAACTGCTTGTATATATTATTGCGTTTAAATAAACTCATGTCCCTTCCCACAAATCAACCAAACAAGATCAGTCTGGTCAGCCATCTCTCAAACATGGACCACCCTATTCGTAACATATCGTCATCCAAGGAAGGGTCCAGGACTCCACCTCCATGGAACGTGAGTCAGAAGCTTTGTTTCGAACGCCACGGCCCGTTCGAACGAACGGTGGCGTTCAACATGTTCGGATGGGAACGCACGCCTTGGCCCAGGCACTCCCGAGTGGGATTGCCTTTGGTCTTGGTAATCTCATCGACCAAATTCAAGGTCATCAAGGACCTGGGATAGTATTGGTGGTTTAAAAACACTCCACACAGGATGACCGCTGGAGGATGACGGTCGTTTTGTCGAGCCTCTGGGTAAAGAATGATCACTATCAGAAAGTCTGATTGGCAGATTCCGAGTGCGTCAGCGAAGTCACTAACATCACCTCCCCCCAAGACCAGTGCAAGTTGTTTCTGTTTTTTTGGGGTTGTCTTTGTTTTCGGGCATCTTTTGGGTGTCTTTAATACTTTTAGCTCTCCGGCAAAGTTTTACAGCTTAATATGTTGTTACTGCTTCCAAGTCACCTCACTCCTCGGAATATAAAATGCTCTTGGGTGTCCATCTGCGTGTGTGTTTTTTGCTTCAACAAGGCTGGCATTGCCCCATGCCTCTCCTTACTTGCCTTTTCAGTTTGGATGCCTTTGCCTCCCTCAACAACAGGCTGCTACAGGTGAGGTTGCCACAGTGAGGCGAGTAAGTTCCATTTGGCACAACTCCCCAGCAGCGGTACCTCAAGGAATGTGGATCAACTTATATCAACTTTCCTTCCAAGACCAGTAAATGAAGAGAGAAGGATGCTGTGAGGGTGCACTTTTCCACCACCTGTCAGGTGAGGCTGAGAGTTGTTGGATTTTATGTCAGCTGCCTCGCTGTCCTCCTCCTCCTCCTCGTCCTCCTCAACCGCGAGAGTCGGATGGCAGTGTTCCCCGCCGGACTGTCAAAAACTGACCCGCGGTGGGGGGTGGCGCCGCCTCCCGCCGTCCTCACAGGCTTCAGGCAGGACGTGCATTGGCTTCCCTAGTCAGGGGGCCTTGTGCACAGTAGCCTGCCGCGTCACCGGTCGCTCGACGGCGTGCTCCTGTCTTCTCCTCTCCTCTGTCCTGCTCCTCTTCTCATTCCTGCTCCTGCCTCTCCTCTCTTCCTGTCCTGCTCCTCCTCTCCTCCTGTCCTGCGCCTCTCCTTGCAGGGCCTTCAGACGAGCCCCTTGATGAGATTTGGAAATAGTATGGAATTCTGTTTAAAAAGGTGTTTTAAAAAAAACCACGGGTAAATCTATAAATCCTATAAATCAACTTCTGGTGAAGTGGTATTTTCTTTTTCCAGCTGCTTAAGCAAGGATTGCTTCGATCCCCGACCCCTCCAGACGGACCGATCCCTCCAGAGGATTTTGGTCAGTGGTCACACATGTACTGAGTTTAATTTTAACAATTCAGCGACTGTCATCTTGAGAGGCCTGAGTTACACATCTTTCACCCCCACCCAAACTCACCCCAACCACCTTCTCAGGAGGTAGTTGAAGACCTTTATAGGGTTTGGACATCGGTCCCTCAGCCCCACTTTCTCAAAAAGTACGACTGGTGGAGCCCAAACAGGATGGTGTTTTAGATCGGCTCACGCAATACCGCCCTTGTAGTATCAATTTCATAAGGGATGTGTGGGCATAAATACGCCACACCCACCTGTACAAGTCTTCCAACAAGGCTATCCATGAACAAACTCTCTCTCTCTCTCTCTGCGGTGCCGGCGCGTGACTAAAATGACCGGTACAGTGTGGAACCTGTTCACCTGTTCTGTATTTTGCATGCGCTGGGCCCTTGTGGAAGGGCATAGGGCTGCCGTTGAGGACAGCAGCCCAAAGTGTCTCTCATTGATACTTGGAAGGAGATGAGGGATTGATTTTGCCTCAGGCAAGTTGACTTTTCCGCCAGCAGTGGTGGACGTGCACATGTTGAAGGCTGGGGACGAAGTTGACGGTTTACCTTAGCAGACCGCCGCATTGTCCTGGAGCTTGCGAGTGCATTGGTTTCCTGTGGAACCCTGTATAGCAGGCAGTTTTCGATAAGGACGCCTCTGTGGAGCGCGATTGCCACACGCGGGGTGCAACACTCGTGTTGTGGGAACTCTGGCTCAACTTCACTACCTGCTTGTTTCCGTTCGCAATCCTTGGTCTGCCAATCTCTTCTTAATCGATTGCGTGCACTTCCAGAGACCCATGCCCTTCCAGAGAATGTTTTCGGGGGACTCCCCCTTGGAGTCCAAGTTGAGCTTCAAAGAACTTAAGCAGAAATGGAGAATGCCACTGGGCTGGGTGATGAAGTCTGTGAAGGTGACTCCCCTCTTGAGGAAGTCGGGACTGTCAGCCCAATCGGGGAGTTCACCATCCAATTCATTGAGCGGTGCCAGGACCTTCACAGTGACCTAACTCGAGATCCAGGATTTTTGGTCACGATTCATGCCACGGACTGAAGGTGCTGGGAATCGCTTTATTTCTGGGTGGGAGGGAATGGGTACCCAAATCCACGTATACATTGAATTTAGACATCATTTGGAAGTCCTAGTCCTAGCTAATAGCATTTTGGATCGATTCCACAACATCTTGCTGTGTGGAATTGGGAGACCCCCAGAGATAGCTTTGTTTTCTTTGGAGCATTGACCAGTCTTTATATATATATATATATAGCGGCACAATGTTATACAGCTATATTCAGTTATATAAAATATCTAACGAATTATAATCAGTTCTGTCAAAAAAGTGGCACGGTGTTATAAAGTTATATATATATATATGGTTATGACCGTCCCATTGATCAATGATCAAGTTGATCCCAAGGCTGTTCGACACTCCACTGCCTCCACTCCGCCCTACCTGGCAGGATCCCCTTGTCGAAAGTGATGCTGTATGTGGCTGACGCGGAGGAGGCCATGAAATACCAGGACGAATGCTGGACCAGCAAGAACTGAGGCTGATCAACACTGAAATACATTGAAATACAGGATATGTGACTTACTTTTCCGCAAGTCGATCTACAAGATCAAAGAAGAGGGGGATCCAAAGACCACATCAAAAGCATTTCTGGTTTTCTGCGGCTGCAGGACGTGTTGAAACAAGATGCCTTCTGGTCCGCCGCTGCCGTCCAGATTGGACAGTGCGGGTGTCCGCCTGCACCCTCCACCCTGCCCGGGTGCGGGTTCGCGCTCGTCCTCCTCCAGGCTGATGTGTGCCCCTACGGGGCACCCGAGGTGAAGACCCTCGATCTGCTGAAGCGCCACAGGACATTCTTACGCTTAAGTCACAATTCTGTCCAAAGAAAAATAACCCATCGCGGCTGTTGGGTCCTTCCAGAAACTGTCTCCCACCAAAGTCTTCCTAGTGTCCTCGTAGGATTGAAGGTCCGATTTTATTGCCGTCGCCCCCCCAGCAGAGAGAGGTGTGCTCGAAGCCGAAGCCCATGAGCAGCTCCCTCTCTGAGGAGTCGATGGTACGCCATCTACCGTTGCGCCACATCATGTGTTCACCTCTGCACTGGTATGGAGGGAACCTAAAACTGTCAGCCTCCCAGCGTCCTCGAGCGTCGTCGGAACATCTCTGTAAGCCTACGGGCCTAGGCGGGGGAGCACTTCGAGCAATTGCTTTCATGAAGCATGGAAAGGGGGGTTGCGCCACTCTGTCTCCCCATTGCCATCCTTCCCTGAGCCATTGCCTTGGGGAGACTCCCGTGGCGGTCATGACAACCTCGGTGAAGCCTTCCTTCTCGCAGTAGTCTGCCAAAGCTGCTGTGAAATAGAGGACCGCCAGCCCGTTGTTGTCCATGGTGCCCGCCCACAACGGCGCATTGACTCCGAGCCGTCTCAGGCCGTCCAACCATTCGTCCTTGGAGCCCATCACCAAGGAAGGTATGCTCCAGAGGCAGGCATCAGATCACAGGCGAAGATGGAGGACCCAAGATTCAAGTGTCGTAGCCCGCAAAGTGAATTGCAATCAAAACCGCTTCCCCGCAATTCTTTGCGGTGAACTTGCCATTGCCAGACAAAGCTTGCCAAGCATTGACCAGGTCATAGTACGTGTGGCAATGTCAGAAGATATGCCAGAAAGAATGTCAGCAGATATGCCAGATAGAACGCCAGAAAGAATGTCAGAAGGTATGCAGAAGATATGCCACATAGAATGTCAGAAAGAATGTCAAAAGACATGCCAGAGAGAATGTCAGAAGATAGGCCAGAAAGAATGTGAGAAGATAAGCCAGAAAGAATGTCAGAAGATATGCAGAAGATATGCCGGAAAGAATGTCGGAAGATATGCCAGAAAGAATGCCAGCAGAAATGTCAAATAGAATGACAAAAGATACGCCGGAAAGAATGTCAGAGAATATTAAAGAAACATGTCAAAAAGAATGTCAGAAGATATGCCAGGGAGATTGTCAGATTATATGCCAGGAAGAATGTCAGCAAGAATGACAAAAGATATCCCACATATAATGCCAGAAAGAATGCCACAAGAGATGCCCCACCAAAATGTCAGAAGATATGCCAGAATAAATGTCAGAAGAAATGCCAGAATGAATGTAGGAAGATATACCAGATAGAATGTCAGAATGAATGTCAAACATATGCAATAGAGAATGTCAGAAAGAATGTCACAAGTAATGCAAGAAAGAACACCAAAAATAATGTCAAAAAATATGCCAGAAAGAATGCCAGAAGATAAAGATAGAATGCAAGAAAGGATGTCAACAAAACATGCCAGAGAGATACGCCAGAAACAATGTCTGCAGATACGCCAGATAGAACGCCGGAAGGAATGTCAGAAGATATGCAAAAGAAATGCCAGATAGAATGTCAGAAAGAATGTCAAAAATATACCAGAGATAATGTCAAAAGATAGGCCAGCGAGAATGTCAGAAGATATGTCAGGTAGACTGTCAGAAGGTATGCCAAAAAGCATGTCTGAAGAGATGCCAGAAAGAATGTCAGAAGATACGCCGGAAATAACGTCAGAAAGAACGTCAGATGAAAGAATGTAGGAAGAGATGCCAGAAAGAATGTCAAAAGCTTTGCAAGAAAAATGTCAGAAACATGTCACAAAATATGCTAGAAGGAATGCCGGTATAATGTTTCAATACATGCCAAGCAATTCGTGGTGGGGATCACTAGGTATTTGACATTTCTGTAATTTCTGTTTGCTTTGCCACTATACATCTTGACATCTACCTCACTCAGTAGCTAACTATCCAAGCACTCACGATCAAAACTGCATGTAGACCACCAAGTCGTCAACGCATTTACTTCTTCAGGACAATTTTCATGACTTTGCCTGTGAAGTGTTTCATGCCCTTCTTGCCCTTCATGATGCCTTTCGGAGAACACCGATATGCCTTGGACTTGACCTTCGGGACCCTCTGCTGGGGCTGAATGACGCTGTGCGAAGGTATGAGGCCTGTCCATGTAGAAGCGCTTCCTTATGACTGTTCACGTAGTAGAACAACATGAACTTGTGACGAAGCTCCTTTATTTCATTGCCTGTGGGTGCATCGTGCCGAAACCGACTAAAGACTTGCTCACACATGTTGCCATTGATCTCCGCCATGAGTTTTGCAAGCGGTTTCTTGAAACCTACAGTCGATATTAGGCACATATCAAAAAAACAAAAACATAATGGATGACCTAGATCAAAGTTTCTATTAACGCATGTGAAGGCATGGTTGCAAACACTAAAGAAACAAGAGCATTGTAAGACCAGGAACGAGGATTGCAAGGACATTTCTTGTCGCGACGATAGGCATAAAAACCATCAACAGTGTAGTGCTGGATCTGGTTGAGAGACGGTGTTTCCTTCGTAGATGGTTTGAGAGAGCAAGCTACAGCCGCAACACGGACTCCATCATCTCAATGGCATGATCATTTGTTCTGGCTCATGCATCACAATCAACCCCCAGATGCGACCACTGACAGGATCACAGCACATGAACCATCCGTTGGAAGGGCTACCAACAGTTTCATCAGAATGGCGAGGACGGCCAGCCCTTTGTCAGGTGCATCCATGCACTGCGGTTTAAGCTTCAAGCAGCCATCCAATACCACAGTCTTCACTGTAGTCTTCTTGGAATGTCCTTGTACTCATCAAGCTCAAGTTTGGGAACGCCAGGCAAAGGAGCTGCAGGATGCGCACACACAGGAGCAGCAATTGGATGACCATCAGCAGAAAGAAGGGAATCGAGCATAGCTTAGGAGTTGCAGACAGTGCTGGCTGCTGGGCTGCACATTGCACATGATCATGCTTGCAAAAAGATTCCTTCCCACCTCCCAAGCAGCCTTCTCTTCAGAGTCCACACAGGCAGGGCCTCCTGCCTTGAAGTTGGCAATAATGGGTTTGCAGGAACCTTTTAGCAGATCTCCACGAGGCCATTTCAAGCGAAGAACCTTCACTTCCTTCTCGGTTGGTGGGCGGTAGTACACAAAGTTCTTGGACCGGAAACAAACATAGGCCACACGCTTGAAGATGGCACACGAATCAGCACTAGAAATGTAACCAAAGGTGGCCGACCAACTTCAATGAAAGCAGCGTGAGTGACAGAGTTTTCATCAGCTGGGTCACTAGCTGGATCATATTGGTTGTCCAGAAGCAATACGCAGCTGATGTTGGACAAACTTTGCAGCTGTCCATCGCTCCTTGAGGATCGTTTCCTGGTCTGCCACATCGCTGAAAGCTCTCTTGATGATTTCACCCCTATCTCACCATCATCGTAAAGAGCAGGGCAAGTTTGCTAAGAAATCTCCACGAAAAGCGTCGAAATCACTGGCACTTCGGAAGGTTCCACTGCCACCGTGGTAGCGGGAAAAGCATCGCCAAAATGCGCCCAAGAGGAGAGGTGGGCCACAATCTGTTCTATCACTTCCAGGAATCTGGCTCCAAGGCATCCAAAGTAAGATCATAGCGGGCAACGACGGCAGCCGTCGTGATTGCAGGCGAGAGAGTCCAGCGCCCTTTGCAACAGCTTCTCATTCCAACCGTTGATTGGGCTTCCATCACGGTGGGTATGCCGATGAATACAGCGAAGTTGTTTTAGGTTGCCTTTGTCACACTCGCCATGTGCAATGATGAAGTCCCACCCTGCACCTTGATGTGATGATTTTCTTCTTCACCGCGCTGAGGGAGAAGTGTCGGAATTGTTGGCCTCCCATCTGCTCCAACATGTATCGCAAGCCTCGACGTGCTTTGTGCTTGTTGAGGCCCGCCCAAGCTATCTCATAGCCCCACTGCCCTTGAGGAGTCGGTGGACATAGTGCCCCTTGATTTTGTCATCCTTGATGTAGAAGTGCTTCACAAAACAGACTTGTCCACTTGTCTGAGGAAGGAGGAAGTACTGGCTGACGTAATCAAACATGGGCCGCTCAGCCAGCTTCATGACATCAGGGAGGCCATCCCAAGCCTTATCCCGAAGGATGGATTTGAGGTTGTCGATGTTGACAGTGTGGGGGGTCAGCGTCATGGATGCTGTCATGGCCGAGCCAGAGACATCCCTTGAGGTAAACAAACGTCTTACACGGGTTGCGTCAGAAAGATAAGGAAAGAACAGTGCTTCTTTTTGCAAGGAGCTCTTTGAGAGGTGAAACAACTCCAACTGGCCAAGGGTGCAGGTGGGGCCAACTCTCTCAATGTCAGATGCTCTGTGGCTTCGATGGCAGCAGACAACGATAGGAAATCATATACAGTGGCCATCTGGACAACACAGAAGCAGTCAGAAGAAGGGAGCACTACACTAGTTACACTTTCCTGCCAAATTTGCAGATGAACATGAAGTTGTCGTGTTGCAGTCATGCAGTGCACGAACACCAAAAAACACAGAGCAAAAAAAAACAAAATTTGAATCAAACGAACTACAAATAACTCTTGGTGGCCTGGGGTCTGGATTTTGTTGTTGTTGTTGTTGTTGTTGTTGCTTATGATTATTTATTTAGTTGTTTTCCATTGTTTTCCTGGTCTTGGGGTCTGGAATCTTGTTTTCTCTTCGTTTTTTCATGATTTGTAGCAATTGTTTGATCATTTTTAACCATTGCAGTCATTGCAAATGTGCTAAGCAAACATTGTTAGTGGCTGCAAAGGAATGAATGATATAGCCATTGTGAATACCCTAAGGCTCCTGTCCCATAAATCCTCAAATTCGGGCTAGAAAAGAAAATCCCCTGACACCCAAGCACCGTGACCACCTGGGGACGTGGCTCCAGTAGGCCCACGGCAGCCATGGTGACGCTTAACGGCAGCACCTGCACGAAGAGCTTCCACGTGAAGGGCGGCGCATCCCTCAGACAGAGCGTACGGAGCTACGCGCGCAACGGGGCAAGCGCACAGCAAGCGGTCCGGCGCGAGAAGAAGGGCTTCGGCTTCGGACATCTCTGGCTCTGTCTGGGAACCTGAGAAAAATAACTAGAACATGTGATGCACACATATATATATAATTATATATAATATGTATATTATATTACATTCTATTAGAGGATTCATCCCCCCATGAATCCTTATTAAACAGAACCAGGACATTTGGTCCAGGGTCCAGGGTGGAAGAATGTCCTCCAGTTCCAAAGTCAAGTTGATTTGAGCCCCGAAGTCCCCCGTGTCGTCAAGATGAGTAGATGTGACATGATGTGACACCCAAGACACTCCCCCCTCCCCGTGGGGTTCCATGGCACTCCTGGATGGTTAGTCTGGTTTGATCGCTTTCTGGGGTCGAGACATGGGTCTGGATTCGACCGGAGCGGTCCGACCCTTTCGGGGGTTCGGTTCGGAAAAAACCCAAGCAGTCTATATCATGAAGACTCTTGATTAATAAACCTCCCATCTTCGTCCCCTGGGTACCCCAAGCACCGAGCCTCAGAAGTCAGTTGAAGCCCCAGGGCCATAGATATAATGTACATATATAGATAGATTGATGTGTATATTGATGTTGTATTATGTTATGATGTGCAACAACTTGTGCAACATGGTGCAACAAACAAACTATAGAAGCCATTTGACCTCGCTTTTGATACATATGTCCAGCCAATGTTGTTCGTTCGGTGAATTATAAAAAAACAACACGCATGGACAAGCCACTTGAAGAAACTCCTAAGAGGACATCCTGTCTGGGTGTCCTGTCTGGAGATCCCTGTCTGCAGGGTCCAAAAACACAAATAACAAATTCAAGGACGGTACCAGAGCCATCAGAGTACTCAGCACCCTCCCAAAGGCGTGGATGAAACATGCCATGGATTAAGCATTGTCCTTGAATAACCATCCCTATAGTGGATTCAATCATCCTGATGGAACCTTCATGGCTGCCGTGGATATGTTAAATGATTCCCCCTGGGAGTCCTGTCGACTATTTGGAAAATGCTCGGACTAGGTGACACGAGTCTAGGTATTTTTTTGGTGATGCTAAATAGAGTCGAACTGGACTCAATTTGAGAGCTTCGCCACTGAAAAGAAAACCATATTGTTACTATTTCCTCTTTTCTTTATATAGATGTATTTTTCCTTTGATCGACCCATTCTTTATTTCAACCTGCTAAAGGTTCAGTCATCTCCCTTGTTTCCTTTGAACCCTCTTAGCCTAATCCTTTGCCGGTGAAGAACTGGGGTTTGCCTAGCAGCCTAGCCACATCTTCTCCAGAAGCTTGCAAAGAAAGGGCTTCACCCTGCTTCACCGGGAAAATCCACAATCTTCCCCCAGGAACCCGACGAAACCGTTCAACTGGGGGAAGAGTTGTGCTTTCGTTGGGTTCCTGGGGGAAGAGTTGTTCACCTGGAACAAAGAAACCTTTCAAAAGTCGAACAAATCGAGGACGTCCTTCGGACTCGAGTCCTCCGACTGGCCCAGGCTAGCGTCGCATACAAGTCGTTGAACCAAAAGAGTCTTGGAAGCTCGCAGTTCGGGGCCTCAGTGAAATCCGGGCTCAAAGTTGAAGAACCCCAAGCTCAGAGTTGTGTGTGTGCTTTCAAAGCGTCGGTGTTTTTTTTCTAAGAGATTATGCTGCTTCCAACATCTGGTTCATCATTTTTCTATAGTTATATAAAAGGGTCTATTGGGATAGCATGGGATAGCTGTTGAATAGCCCTATCTATAAAAATATTGAAACTCTGAATAGTGGAAAACAAGCAAGCACTTGCTCTCACCGGACAAAAGCTCTTACCCTTTTCTTGGAATCAAACATGTTCCAAACAGCTTTAGGTACTGAATACAATTGTCTGACATGTCGTCACTTGCAATTGACATGTCGGATTTGAAGCTGGGAAGCTGGGCGCCATGCCAAAAGCACAACTCTTCCCCCCAGGAACCCGACCGAAATGAGCCCACCCCGGAACCGGACGAAGGGCGAAAACATCCACCGAACAGCGAGGTCGCCCGAAGAGGTACGTCCAGGGAACCGCGAGGACCGTCTACCGCGAGGAAGTGGTTTTACACATGTGTCTGGAAGAACATGGTGTCTTTACAAACAGCTGGTTTTACACATCCATGATTAGTTCAGGGAGTGTACATGGATCTCTCCACAGAATACCTGCTTCTTGTTCTTTTTTCAAGAAGATGCCTGGATGGGGCTGCCCTGGCGTCTTCTGTGGTTTTTCGCGTTGAAGAAAGGATCGGCCCCAGAGATGTTTGGATGGGTTTCCCCAGCTGCAAATCAATGAACTCCCCGAGCTTGGATGGAACACCAGTCTCTGCCACCCGTCTCACCAACCGGGTCCCTGGGTCACCACCTGCCAGTTGTCGGACCTCGGAGACCCGGGTTTAGTTGGGTGCTCCGCTCCCGCGCATCAGCAACAATAGAGCAGACAGTCTGACATCCGCTGCGAAGAATGCTGTTCTCCCTCTGTCAGCAACACGTGTGCGACGAATCATTGAAGCTACCCAGAGGCTCAGAACCATCTTCATGTTCCGAGGTATGGTTTCGGTCTTTCCTGGTCTTTCCTGAAATGCACACGTGAAGGTGATTTTTCCTGTCTGGCCTGGGGACTGCATGACTATATCTCCAACACCAACGGCGCAGATCCTGCACTTCTGGAGCCCTGCTGTTCAATAGTTCCGGTAGAAATCAGCGAGTTGTTCAGCAACCCCAACCATAATTTAAACAGAGTTCAACGGAACAATTCACATCTGCCACATGTCCCGGGCCACCAAAACCATTTCCATTTGCGATAGCCCGTTCGAACGTCTCTCATCCGTGGCCGCCAACGAACCCGTCCCAGCGGCGATATCCTGGACGATGGGCGTCTGCGAGCCAAAGGCTGGCCTCGTCACGAGGCGAGTGGCAACGTCGCAAGGTTTTGTGTCTTTTTTCGCCCACTCTTCCTCACTTAAGTAAGCGCCCTACTTAATTAAGTAAGGGTGAGGGCAACTAGCGGCAACCACCTACTGGATGCAAAAGAATTCACCCTTCCTTGAAGAAGCGCTCGCACTATTTAATGTCGATGTCGGATTAGTCAACGGGCCCTCACCTTCAAGGTCAACAAGGTCAACAAGGTTTGAGGTTGGAGGTATTGGGAACCAAATTCCCCGAGTGAGGGTGATGACCTGATGATGGATGATGGGGTTCTGTGTGAATCATGAATGCATGAGCAAGTGTCCAATCAGTGGTTTGATTGGGAAGATTTGGATGAGGAGGAAACTGAATGTGGAAAGCACGGCAGTCCATTTCACGAGGGTGTTGGGAAACCATTTGGTGATCCTTTCTTGTTTGGGATGATTTGGAAAAGGAAGCGGTGTGCAGGATCAAAGAGATGGAAAACAACATGGAGGTTAAAGGGAGGGGAGGGGCCTCTGTGAGGGGTATCTTTTGTGAGTTTGAAAGTCTTAAACTTTTGATGGAGTTGTTGTATTTTGACAGGGAAAAATGCTAGGGAGAAAGATCCCATATGAGTAATTATACACAAAAAAAACTGCACATATTGCAGCACGGAAGAGTGAGATGAAGGAGGATGAACATGATGGATGAGAGAATCAACATGGAAAAAGGGTGGATCAGGATGCTATCTCTCAAAGACATCAATGACTTCTGGAAGGATATTTACACTCCCTGGAACGTCCTCATGGTTACGTGGGTGGCATGGCGCCGAAAGGAAGACCATGAAATCCACGAACCAAACAGGTGTTTTTTCCACTTCCATTGCATGTTAGTTCCAGGGAGTGTCATATTATCCTACATGTCCACATTATTTGGTTCCTACCTTTCTTTCGCACCCACCGGGTGGTTCTTTTTCTCATCGCCTTAGGTCTGGTACAGTAAGAAAAAGTACCAGTACAAAAGGTATCAGAACCAAAATCACTCTCCAGAAATTGTGTTTCTTAATTAAAATTTGCATTGGCAATGTTTATTTGACAAAAAAATCCGATAATCAATTTCTTAATTAAAATTTGACTTGCAAACACATAACAAAAAAGACTTATTAACCAAAATGTACGTTGGCCATGTTTGCTTGCAAAAACCATTTTCCTTCCTCAACTAAAGTTGCATTGGCCATGTTCCTTACAAAAACCACCTTGCAAAAATCATGTTCTGTACTAAACTCTGCTCAAGAAAAGGTACCGGTAGAAAAGGTAGTGGTAAAAAAGGTGCCGGTACAAAAGGTACTGGTAGACAAGTTATACCGGTAGAGAAGGGCACCGGAAAAAGAAGGAACTGCTACAAAACAACAGGTAAAGAAGTTAGCGGTAGAAAAGGCACCCGTACAAAATGTGTAGAAAACGTAACGGTAGAAAAGGTACTGGTAAAAATACGTGGTGGTAGAAGGTAGAAGCGGTATCGCTAGAAAAAGGAACGTAGTTGTTGATAGGAAGATCGGGTAGTTTGATTAAAAAAAGGACGTTCCTTTGTCTTCGACATTGAACATATGTGTTTATGTTGTTATTTGAATATACATTTTAATATTTGTTTGCTGTATATAAATATACTACTGTCTAGTGACTTAGGCTCAAGTGATTTGCGCTAACACCTCTAGCAATACAGGAAGTCTGGGTGGTGAAACCTGGTGTCATAGGACCTTTGGACGTCTCCACAATCAAGAAAAGGAAAAACTCAAGCATCTTTTCCATGGATTGTGGTGGTTGGTTCAAGCCTGATTACATAGGCTTTTGGAATCGCCATATGTGTTCGACAAGTCCTTAGTTTCTAGTCAGTACTCTAAATACATCATATATGCTTAATTTTAGCTATATATAGGAAGACCTGTTTAGCAATATGAACATAATAAGTAGTATATAATATTGGTCATTATGTTCAAAAGAAAATCATCTTCAAATGAGAGACACTGCCTTCGGGCCTTCGGGTCATGCGCTACAAATCCGCACCGCAGTACGCATCACACTTTGTATTTCCAACTTCCCTGCGGCAGCAAATAAGAAGCAGTCAAAAGTCAAGCAATGGACAGATATCGACACATCAAGGTCGCCTTAAACCAGTGTGCGAAGATCACCTCTTCTTGCCATGAAGTTTAGAAGCGGAACCGGATTGTTTTCCCAACTTGGAAAGTCAGCCGCAGGACCTTTCTCTTGGTAATCTTGCTTGAGCTTGAAAGTTTGCTTTGATAGTGCCCAGTGCAAGTAATGACAATACTCACCATTCTAACGTTGTCATTTCCATTCTGAAGCATGTATCGGTCTTCGATCAAGAATCGTTCTTCTAACTTGTTTTGGATGGGTTTTGACAAGTAGCCCATTTTGGGTTCAAGAGAGCCTGTTACACTGGTTGGGTGTAATGTCGCTGAGTGCGGTGATTCGGCCACCGGCCATGAGTGTGGATGATTTGAAAGAATACATTTGGGCTTGCTTTCATGGCTTTGATCCTTCTCGAGATCATGGATACAGGGATTTGGATGGCGCAAAGCTCTTCGGACAGTCGCAAGCACTGCATAAAGGCTTCGCAATGCACGGGCTCATGCTGGAAAGCCTTGATGTGCGTTACTTAGGCTTTCCAGCAAGAGCATTTTGAACAAGTGCATTTTAAATGCGTTACTTGTCACTTGTAAATGTGCATGTTGTTTAAAATGTATATAAGTGGTGTTGTCGCTCATTCGGGTCGATGAACTGATGGCGGGTGCTGCTTAAGGATTGAACGGAGAAGACAACATTCACTTGTCTTCTGGGTTGAAGAGAGCGGCAATTCTGATGGCCCACTAAGCTGGGACATCCAGTGTGGATTTCACCTTGATGGGGGGGGTGGGGTTGGAGAATAAGGTGGGTATGCTGTCTCTGAGCTCTGCGACTTATTGTTTGTGGTTCGTGTCAAAAACGCAAAGAAGTTGAAATAGCTATTGGGAATGGGGGAATTCAAGCTTCGAGCCATCGAGCGATCAGAAAGCGCACGGAAGCATCTCCCATACCAATGTGCTCTGGTGATGCTGCGATGGTACCAATACAAAAAGGATCAAAAAGGTACTGGGTGCACACAGAATGACAAGGATACAGATTCATGGTATGCAATGACACAGATACCTTTCGACTCAGGCTTGCCTTGTGAATCTTTCGATTCTCTTGGGCGTTCGCTCTATCGAACCTTGGCCGTTGGCAACGAAACAGACGCCTTCCGCTTGGTCCGAAAGCTTCGCTTCGTGAGCTCGAAATGCAGTTTCCAATCTTCCACTCACCTGTGAACTCCCTTATCTAACGCTTCACAATATCCCGAGCATCAATCCGGAATAAACGGCTTGCTATGGCCACTGCGAGAATTTCCTTAAGCTAAAGGGCATGGATTAGCATCAACTTATCGGTAGTCGCCTTGGTGTCCACTGACAAAATGAAATCGAACGCTGAGCGAGCATTTATCATTAGATCCACCGACAAAGCGTTCATTCCTGATTCCTGAACGTTTGCCATAGCGTGCGCTGATTGAATTCCCATCAAGACTTCAGTCAGGGCCAGGTTGATGGGTTCTGGCGTTCAGGCGATCACATCCAGAGCTGAAAAGAGTTCGGCAGTAAACTCTGCAAACACTGCAGTTTGCTTCTTCGATGCGAACTCCTAAATCTGCTTAGGGTGTTCACCGATCTGAGGCCCGTCTTGATCTCCAAGTGCTATGATGCCGCTTCATCAGCTGCGAGAGCATCATCATCTTCCTTGAAACTGCTGCCATGGACTACGAACCTGATGATATGCCAGTTTCATTGGTTTCCTCACGGTTTCCTCTTTACATACGCAAGCACTCGGTTCAAATTGATTCTGTCTTGACCAGTAGCAGACTGCAGCTTGCGCCTTCAGAGCTGCTGTGAACACTGCTATGTTCGGTCTGGTCTGCACTACGCAATCCATGCCTCCAAAAAGTGAACTGAACCGTGATTTAAGATCAGCATCCACAGGACTTAGAACCTGCTTCTGAGATACATCTAAGTTCATTCACATCATGTTCTTGATTTACAGTGTGCGAACTGTTGGATTCCAAGGAGCTGCGCAAGCCTAGCTCTTTACAAAGGATCTTTCTCCACTTTGAGTTCAAAAAAAACTTCCGTCGGCACCTTTGGCAATTTCTGAATTTGCTGTTCATTACCTATCCCAGGCGCTCCATGTATGGAATATATGCCTACATTGGGGTGGTTTGGGGGGGTCAATGTAGGCATATATGGCATACATGGAGTGTATGGGTATATTATTTTGAGATGATCCGCATGAACAAACAAAATAGTAACTAAGCGCTGATGTTCATGTTTGACAAACAACTAGCGATCCCTTTTTTTAGAACCTATATAACTATATAATAACCCATCTAATATTATATGTATACAACATATTAAAACATTATATTAAAATTCACCATCCATCTTTATCCTCCCGCAGCCATGCCTCATCATATTGAACCTGTCCAAAACCATGAGCCAAACACCCAAAACCCGCCGGCTTGGCCGCGATCTTTCACCGGAGGCGCAAACAGCGGTCGTCTGACCTTCCCACGCCCGTCGAAGGCGCCTCACGATGGCCCATTCGAAAATGATCCCCACAATGATGGCCACCAGCGCCGAGGGCACTCGTGTCGAAAGCTTCGGAAGCCACAAGGACACGCAAAAGGACAGGACCTGAGACGAAAAACAGGTCACCGAATGTTCGTGAAGTAGCGAAAATGGATCCATGACCCAAATAATAAATGCAGGTAATTACCAATTTTCCAAGGTACGAACTGATACTACAGGTAGAGGGGTCAGTGCCAGCTCATATATGGCTCAGTTTTGTTATGATCTAATTGTTATGATTTTGTTATGTCTTGTATTGCGTGCATTGTATTGTTATGTATTCATCTGGCCCAGTCAAAGGCCATCTGGCTGTGAGTCCAAACCTCCGCCGAACCGCCCTGGTTCCGGTCAACCGACCTGGTGCCCTGGAGGTTTTGACCCGCGGTCATCGGACCCGGAAACACACGGACCATCGGAAACCAGGGTGCCTATGAGGATAGTCCATGACGGGGTTCTCCAACCATGAAGAGGACTTGAGGCAAGAAAGAACTTGAGGCAACTCAAAGCCCTTGAGGCGACTTAAAGCCCCAAGCATCTTCCGTTCGCTTCAAGTGCTTGGAATGAACTGTCCCTAACAATCCTTGGAACCCTCCATGGCAGGGGTCGGACCCGACACCTAAACGAAGGGGTCCGGACCCTCAAAACCTTCCCAGTTCGAGGGCCGGGATTCTTAGGGGTGAACACCATGATTGCCAAGTAGCCACAGCCATTCTTGGGGCCCAAAAATGCGCCGTGAAAACACAGCGCTACTTCCGCCCTACTTCCGTTCTCCGGTCCCTGATGGTCACTCCAGTCACGTGAGAAACCCCCAGACGGTCCCTCCAAACCCGTCTGGAGAACGAGTCCGAATGCCTCCATGGTGCTTCTGAACTCCCACCGCCTCCCTTAGGCCCGCTGATCCTCCCCGGATGTACATGAGAGGGTCAGGCTCAGGACAACAAATTCTAAATACCCCACCAATGGGTATAATAGACTGGTCTATTCTTCCTTCTTCCAGGAAGTCTTTATGGGAGGTCTCCCAGCTTTAAACTATAATTACACCCAAACTATAGGTCTTGGGTCTTATCTTACCCTAAGGCTCCAACCACCTCCTCAGGTGGTTAGACCCCCCTGGCACCCACCCCAGCCACCGAACCTGAGGATGTTGGCCAGGAGCCCTGAGGGAATCCGTCGATGGAACATGGCGATGTCACCTCCAGCCGCTTTCCAGATCCGAGTGGCAGTGATGATTGCGGCGAAAATGGCCTCCTGGAAACGCCGGGTGTTCTCGCAACAAGCGGCGAGAACGCAGGACAACGTGCTGGACGACTTGAAATCCACAACCAACAAAAAGAAGCACAAGAAACGTCAAGAGCTTCACCAAGATCCTCGACATACAGGAGTAAGAAAGACTATTCAGACATCGACCTTACATGGCCCTGATTAATTATATAGAGCATGTCAAAGCGATGGTTCACTAGAGCATGTCCGAGCAGTGTTCACGTTCCATGGTGGCTTGCAATGAGCTGTTTCCTTCAATGAACCCTTGATTCAGGGCCCCTCGTGTCCACTGATGCACTGCTGGTATCTGACAGTCAACCAGCCTGTTAAGACGCGTGAGATCCAGTGAACCAAGAGGGACGGAACCATGTGTTGAGGAAATCCCACACATGACGAAACCCCACAACATATCAAATCCCCTGATTCTAGTTTCATATCTGGCTTCCTTGAAAGTGACCAGTCAGTTCAAGCCCTTGACACACAACATTGAGGAAATTTGAGAATTCCAGGAGTTACAAAAGGGGTGCCGTGGCTCGTCCCATCCAGGGCTCGTGGATGTGACAGGGGCACCCCGACTTCCTCCATGGATAGCACCCCCGACATGGAACTGCTGGTTCACAGTCCCAAGTGAATGAAGCACCTTAGGATTCCTGACCCACCATTATTAGGCAGAATCCCAAACCACTGTCAAGGATTTTGGTATTGGAAGGTTAGGGCCACAGTATCAGCTTCTAGCAGCCCTAGTTTTTTCTGCCCAGCCCTGTCTGCCCAACCCTAAGTCCCTCCTCTCCATGGATGAAGGGAGTCGGATCCGTAAAAGCGTGGAACGCGTCCAAGCGCCGTGCAGCTGCGCTCGTTGCGCTCGCGGCGCTCGCGTCGGCGGCATGTTCGCCGCATTTGCCCCCAAAGCAAGCGGGGTCCTTGCGCTCCGCTCGTGCGGAGCGCAAGAAGCGGCGTGAAAAGAGGTGGGAGGCCACCAACTCCAGTGAACCCGAATCACAAGAGAACATGATACACGCAAGAACTGGCAAAGGACCAAGAGAACACCGACCACTTGACCTGAAACGCCGATGTTGCCGACAGCTGCCAAACTTGGCAAGCAACAAACCCATCGACTATCGAAGACCAACAAACCAACTCCACATCAAATATAGAATCACAAATAAGCTATATTAAATTCTCTGTTGTAATTACACCCCATGTTCAGATATGTTCAGTGTTCTTTTGTCAAACCTGCCGGTCCTTAAAGTTGCTAATCTGCGCTAAGCCAATGACCAGCGCCAAGCCGTTGCAAAAACCAATCATCACCGGCACCGGGATCAGCTTCACCTGGCGAATCTTCGAGCCGCCGAGGACCCGAAGTGCGGCCGGTGACCGGCCGGTACGGCCCCACCTCCTTTCCCGTTTGGGCTCCTGGCCCACATCCCAAGGCTAGGTGGGCCAGGGGAGGTCTGTGCCCACCGAACCTGAGGATATCGGACAGGAGCCCTACAGTGTCTTCCGGGGTGGGTGACAAACAAGCTGGTCATGCTACTTGGTCATGCTCCTGATGTTGGATGCTGAAAACTGATGTACCTTGAGCCCAAACAACCGATTTCTTGCAGAACGGGACGAGTGCCGACCCGCCCGTTCCACCGAGTGCACACCGGAGACCGCCGCCAGGAGACCAAAGTGCCCACGCTGAGGAGTCCCAAAAGGATCTCGATGATACCCATGACGATCACCTCATAGCTACGAACGGAACAAGTGCATCGCTTCTAGTAACAAGTGAATTACTAGTAGTAACAAGAAGCTCCTAGGAACAAGAAACCTAGCTATCCCGGGGCAGAACAAGCCCAAATCAGTTTGTGCCCTCCTTGCTCAAACACTTCATATTGGTGGAATAGAGGCCGAGAACAGGCCAGGGATGGTCATGGGAAGAATGCGCCCTTCTGCTTCATACGTAGAGAGATACACAAAACGACGTGGAACCCACGTGTCACCCCCCCGGTTGCTAAAGGAATCTGCTCTCTTCCCCCCCCATGCCCCATGCCATCCATTTCCACCTGGGAACCCAGTGGAAAGACCGCATTTCTCGGGTTTGAGAGTTCAGGTGTCGTGGGAACCCAGTCCCAGCCAAAAACAGTTCAAGTTGTTCCAATAACATGGCGCCAGCTTGAGATCCTTTACATTGGATTTCTGGCTGAGATTGGGGGGGTTCAATCCTATTCTTTCTGCCCTAGGGATCCACATACCTTCTGAGGTGATTGGAGACTGTTTATGTAGGCGCCAGGATGTACGACTGGAACCCTAGGGCTGGTTGGGACTGGGTGGCAAATGGTAGGTGAGGGACTTTCTGATTTCCTGCGAGTCTTTTTCTTCAAGTCGAGTCTTGAGTCTTTCCTTCGAACCCAGGCCTCACCAAAATGGACATGTCGACTAGTCTTTCTTGGTGCTGCTCAGGAGCTGGGGACAATTGAATATGTTTCATGTCAGGGGATGAAAACCCAGGAGCCGGGAACATGGAAAAACAAAATCCTTTCTTCGCCAAGCCAGGTCTGTCCAGGACATTGTCACCGACCTTCAGGCCAGGCCGCCCTGACCTCTGCCCGAAAATCCCTGGGATTCTGAAACAGCCAACTCAATTGCAAGGTCCTGGCTCTTAGCTGGTTCTTCAGTTCACGACCATTTGGTACCCTGTTTTTGAGGGTAAATTGAAGATGGCCTGCCAAAATATCACGCGAACACTCCAGAATGGTCACGCAAAACAAGCTGGTACTGCTTTGCTCATCTCAAAACAGTTGCTACTTCCAAAGGTCGTGACACAAACCGCCCATGAAAAGTGAGTGGATGTGTTCTGGGGGGGCACCCCGACATACCCCGACTTCCTCCATGGATGGCACCCTGGCCTCCATGGATGGCTGCTGAAAAATCGTACATATGGTTTGAGTGGAAAACGAGCTGAGCTGCAATTAATTTGAGCCTTTCGGACCACAGTGGCCTCGCCGAAAGCCTGTGCTCAGCTGATTTTCTAGCAGGATCCGGGCATGAAATCCTAAAGATCCATTCATCAAGGGGACTCATGGACTCCCAATTGAAAAATGCATTAATTTATAATTACTGTATGCGAATGATATTCTTAAGGATCTCCTATACGCCTCCAGTTGTACCTTCGTTTCGAAGGTGGGACTGGGGTGGGTGCCATGTTCGGGTCCAGTCATACCTTCTGAGGAGGTACGACTGGAGGTGTAGGGATATTGTTGTGTTCACGTTACAAAACAGAACAAATTCCACATCGATTTCTTTGGGCAGTGTAGCCGCCCTAGGGTGGGGCTGATCATGGTACCAATTACAAATAGCACAGATCATTGTACCTCTTCATTACACCCTTGGATCATACCTAGGGTGGCCCTTTGATCATTGTACCTCTTCATTACACCTTCCGAAACCGGAGATTTGCTCCAACCATTTCCCAGACTTCGTCCCACCACCCGATCTCTTTCACCAGCCGGAGAGGTTCACCGACCGCTCTTTCTTCTACCCAGGCGGCCGCATAGAAGAGCAAGACCTTGCCGTGCGGCATCTGGACGGTGCCCGGCACCAGCACGGCCAAGCTTCCCGTGGCGCCGCAAATCATGGCAGGGCGGCCTGTTGAGAGAACGAAGAGGGCGAGAGGTGGCTCACACGAGCGGGTTGGTGGTGTGACACGAGCGGGTTGGTTTGAAGGAGCTCAAAGGAGAAAAGATGAGAAGAGCACCCCCAAAGACTCCATGATCTGTATATATTTATATAGGGGCTCAAGTATGCTTGAATTTCTAGCGGCCTACATTGACCCCTGAAACTATCCCAATGTAGTTCAATAGACCAGTCCTATGGATGGTCTGGGTACCAAGGGAATGTTGGGGTCAGGTTTCGACATCTTCCAACCGTATCCTCAGGTTCGGTGGGCACAGACCCCCCCCTGGCACCCACCCACCCCTGGCCCACCTAACCTGAGGATATGGGACAGGAGCTCTATCAGGCTTCTACTGCTGACACTGCTTGAAAAGGCGATTCTTCAGCATGAGTAGTGTGCTAATGCATTCCCATAAGAACCTGGCTGAAACTGATCGAAATGCTAAATGAAACCCTATAGGGCCTAGATAGCCCTAGAGAGACGTCTCCAAGCTCGCCTCCCAAAGCTCTCGCCCCCCCCCCACCATTCGCTCTCGGTCTCGTTTCCCGCATCGCGCCTCCGAAGAGCGCGGTGATCACCTGGGAGCGGGATGTGTGTAGACCTGGAATTCACCAACTGTGCAGACATTGATGCTTGTTCATCCATGAAACCAGCCAAGTTCGGAAACACTTGTGATACAGTTGGAAGATCTAGGCAGACATGTAGACTATGTAGACTCTATATAGACTCTATATACAGACCTTCATGAAAGAAGAATACTCAAACTCAGACGTCTAGACCCGATACCCCCAAAACCCGGTACATATACCTCAGCGGGGCCAAACTGGGAAAACCAACATCAACCCCAGGATCCCCCTTTTCTCCGCCAGGATGTGCCAGGTCTTTCGTCCCTCCAAAAAGCCGGGATCGCCTCGGTGTCTCGCCCGACAGGACCGGACCCAACGCCCCACCGCCCTCGCTTCACCGCTTCCGCTGCCGGGCCGCCGAGATGATCCATGCGCTGTTGAGCCCCACGTCGGGTGGCAAGCCCGCGGCCAGGGCGAAGGCCACCTCGATCGACGAGTTATCACGCTGCAGTGGGAATTCGATGTCCCTGCCCATTGGGAGGTGAAACATTGACTGCCCATGTTCTTTTTGTGCAGGGCAGTGTTTTGGGGGGTTCAAATTGAAATGAATCTGAATTGAGCAGTCTTCGCTTTCACATATTAAAGATGACGTCTTTTTGCCAATAGACGACCATGCTCAATTGTTGTTAGACCATGCAACACCTCGAGCTTTAATAGGGATTCACTGGCTCACTGGCTCTTTGGACATGCTTCAATGGAAGATGCATGGTACACCGGTGAAACCCTGTCCGACCCAGGTCCAAACCTGGTCAAACTGACCTCCTTGAGTAGTGTTGTATGAGCAACTCCAGTATTTCATGAGGTCAAACTGACCTGTATGTAAGGTTGGCAATGATAAACTCCAAAAAGAGGGCGAGTCAGGGGGTGTCTCACTTCGTGTTCCGATCTCCTTAGCGTGAACCCCGCTGAGAAAGATGGATGAAGGACCAGATTTGGGTCCATTCATGCGGCTCTTATTGTTGTTACTTGGTGCATTCCATAGTGCCTAAAAGAGGAGCAGGAACGAAAAGAATCCATCTGGATTTGGACAACAAAGAGATCTTGAACGTTCTGGAACACACAGCTCAGATGTTGAAGCGGGGTTGGGTTGAGATTGCTTGATCTAAGCCTAGGCGATTTGATCTGAGTTCAGCACTTGAGTCACCGGGAAGCGAACCATGAAGACGAAAGCAATGACCCAAGCCACCAACCAGAGGCAGTTTTCCCAGCATCAACTCATTCGCGAGCACCCAGCCACTCCTGAGATGTATGTACTGTGTACCGTCTGCCAATTCTGCCAGGGCACCGCCTCCGGCACCAGCGCTAAGGCCACTGTCAAGCCACAAAGGAACCTGAGGTTCCGAGGGAAGCCATGGGGTGGTGGGAAACCATGTCCAGTTGGTGGTTTTGGGTGGTGAATGTCAGGCCATACCTGGATCTTCCAACTCCGTAAAATGTATGCTGAACTTGGCTGCTTTTTGTAGTTATAAACGGTTCAAGAGGCATCCTTTCTTGCAGAAGTTGGAAGATCTAGTACTAGGTATTTCCTGAAGCCTCAACGGGGGGACGGCGAATCTTCTCGCTGCGGCAGGGGCAGATTGCAAGACCCGGTGTGGGGGATTTGGGTGTGGAGACCTGCCAGTTCGACCCTCTGGAAGAAGGACCGTTATTGATTGGAAACATGAGGTTTAAAGACATGTTTTGTATATATATATATGTATGTGTTTCTTTTTTTTGGCGAGATGTTTTGCTGGGGTGTGTTACAGGTGGACAAGTTTGTGAAATGATTTGTTGAACTGTTTTGTTGTATTGTTGTGAGGCTGTGAATTAATTGTGTGATGAATTTGTTGAACATTATGCTGTACTTTTGATGTAGTGATATGACGATAAAAGAGGTAGACTGGTTCCAGGTCTCCCCTATTTAAGTACACAACATTACACAACCATTTGTTAGCACCAGGGTGTCCTGCCAACGCCAGTTTCGTCTCTTGCCCATGCCAGTCTGGACTCTTATAGCCAAGAATCAGCGGTCGAAAAACGGCCAAACCCCCCAGCAGTTGGTGGGGGGAATTGGGTGGAATCATTAGGATGACCAGCTGGCAACCAGCAATTCAAGGCGTGCTTGAAGTTCTTCATTTCGAATGTGTTTGGCATGTTAATGAAACAACACACTCCCTAAAACAATCAAGATGGCATGGCCCCTTGGAAGACAACTGTCCGAATACCAAACAGGTGGTTATTCCACTTCCTTGATTAATTCAGGGAGTGTATATATACCTTCTCCACTGATGAAGCGTGGGTCGATTGTGTCGCATCAGTTGTCTGACTGGGAGGCATTCCGTCCATCGTCATGCCCCAGTCTTGGATTTACTGATTCGGAAACCGGACAAGTATATACAAATATATTCACCAGAAAAGGGTTGTGATAATATATTTTGCTCTTCCCACATGTGGATTTTGGGCTCCGGCCCATCGTGCATGGCATGAGTCCCTGTTGACCATTTTTCTCTACCAAGTGGCCTCTTCCACTTTCCTTTTCTTTGGGGGGGGACGGAGAGCAAGTGTTTTCATCTCGCCCTCGGAACAAGCCCCTCTAGCCCCTCGTGCCCTCCTTAGCCAAACACTTCATGTGCGTGGCATAAGTCCCGACATAGTGTTGGTTGCAGGAATCAATGTATATTGGTATATATATATATATGTACTGTATATCTATTGTTCCATACGACATGCAGTGTCTGGGTTACAAAAGACTCCATAAACTTGTGAGAATCGCAGCTCTCTCTCTCTCTCTCTTCTCTCTCCCCCTGTCTCTCACTATATATCTAGGATTATCTATATAGGCAATCTAATCTATCTATATCTGTCTCTCTAACTGCTGACATGCAATTCCCAGGGCCGTAAATCATATCGGAGAAGTTAATTATTTTATATTTATATCCCTGTACTTCCTTCGATTCACAGTTGAAAGCCACACCATGGTCCTGCTACACAGGTTTCGCAGGGCACCACCTTGCTCTTCTCCCCATTGCATCCCCTGGCTCCTCCAAGAATGATGTAGGTCACAATTGAACTAATACCGGTCCAACTTTTGCCAGCTAAATCGTCCCACCTGCCTTCAGCTACTCAAAAGAGTCCGACTCAAACGCCCCGCGATTGGATCAAGTGGCTCTAGCCGGAAGTCCTTCATGGGTATACACCAGGACGACCACTTCCCCTTCCAGTTGGCCATGTCATCGCTCGACTCTGACATGTCGACTCTGACTCGTCCAGAGTCTTTTGAGCCAAAAGCTGCTGGCGCCATAAAGAAACAACAAACCTTCATGTGTGTGTGTGCCTGGAGTCTTAAAATACCTCGGAAAATGGGTACAAGATGGTACAAGTACATGTTATTAGTTCGGGTCATGTCCCATTTTTAGGAGTACTTTCGGGGTCCAGGTGTTTTTTGTCATCACCTTCTAAGACAAGCAACCCAGTCATGTCCAGTCCATACTGGTGGGAACATTGCTGTGGACTTCATTCTCGCTTCGTCATGGCCTTCATCTGAAGCTTGGTGACACTGCAGGCTTGCTGCAACGGTCAAATGCAGCAAATGCCTAGCAGATTTGACATGTCCGGGCAAAAAAAAAAGGCAGAGGTGTGGTTCTCGCGGAACTCTTAAAACGTAAACCATGCTAAGATCATAGGAGAAGATCCTGTGGACTTGGTTGGCAGTAGTAGAGGTTTAGAGTATACCCTCTAAAGGTGTCGCATCTGAGTCCCATCCGTGTCCCATCCTCTGGACACAAGGTGAGGTGTCGAATCTCGCCAGTGATGCTACAGCGCCTTTTCTTCCAGACGAGCATGGTTAATCTGTGACTCCACATGCCATTGAGCATCGGAGACACCCGGACACGCCGATGTCCGCCCACGAATCTGGATGAATTTCGGTTCCTCAAGAACCGCCCACGTTCTTCTGGCACCTTCTGGGAAGAGCTTCCATTGGGACCCGCATCCTTCGTCCGCGACCCAAAAACTCCCCCCTGAGAGTCCAGGAAAATGGCAAACATGATCTCCCACGACTTCCAGGTGGGGTAATTCATGAGTCAAAAACAACAGTTCTTTCTGAACCCCCAAACCACCCCAGTGTGGGTGACTATGGCAGTCCCATGGAGTGTCTGCATGGGATTCATCTTTTCCACAAAACACAACAAAACAGAACAAATAGCTTGCAAAGATGTTCCCCCTGATCAGAATTCAGCTCAGGCCAGTTCCAAACCAAAACTATATAGTTTTGTGGTAGTAGGCCATTTAGTTTGCAACAACACATCGATGAAGGTTCAGCTGTTGGCATGATTTGACCAAATCCAGTGAGATCCCAAAAGTGGATCCAAATCCATGAATCTTGGATTTGGTGAATCCATGATAGTCCATGAAATCCAGGTGGGGTTCACCTTTCATCTCTATACTCATCGTTTGCTCATGGACGCACTGCCTTCCCAGAAGTGCCGGCCGAGTCAATATGTTGTTTCCCAGTCGAGTGGACGCACCAATCGTTCCGAACGACCCCAAAAAAACACAGGGACGATGCAGTTGGTGAATGTACACTCCCCGAAACGTCCTCATGGTTACGTGGAAGACCGTGGCCCCAAAAAGACGTTCCTCTACAAAGGGGGGTCCTGGTTGGATTCCATGTTTGGAAAAAGAGTAGGCATGTTTGCCTGTTTAAAATGACCCCTGAGCCTGTGATGCTCCGAGAAGCCAACCCAAGCGACGCTGGAGACCCCCATCCGCGGTCAGGGGTCTGGTGTCTGTTTTGGACCGGCTGTGGGGGCTGTTTTCACACAGGGAGAGCGTGGGAGAGAAGACCTCCGTGGCAAATCCGTCTTCATCACTCCAGAAAAACGCGGCTCATCTTAAAACGCTTCCCCCCAAACCCTTGGGATTCACACCACAAAACCGGAACCCGGAACCTTCAAAGCCCCCTGCCGACCCCGGAGAGTTGGGAGGAGGATTCGTGTGGTTCGAGTGCTGAACTGGACACCTGGCAGTCTCTGTCCCTCAAGGCTCCAGTCGTATCGTTTCGTGGGGGGACTGGGGGTAGGTAGGTGCCAGTTGTCGGGTCCAGTCATACCGAACCGTTTAGGAGGCACGACTGGAGGTGTAGGGTGTCTATAACCTTTCCTGATTTGTAATACCTGGCATTCCTTGGGATGATACTAGGCCGTTTTGTGGAAAAAGAGAGGATATACCGATATACCGTATATGTACAGGTCCTCTGATGTACCCGATATGCCGCAAGTTGAGCGTAACAAGCAGGTCTTCAGGAACTCCCAAGGCGGATCCAACGGAGAGTCCGCCATGTCCGCACTCGAAGGTTTTGTTTTCTTCCAGCAGGACTGCTTAAGGAGCTGGTTACAAAAAAAAACTCATATTCCATCATATTCCCCATGCCAGCGCAAAACCACTCAGTTCGCTATTTTAAACAATCACCTGATACGCAAATCACCTGGAGGATCGGGTACTTGGTGGTTTCTGAAGAACACAGCATCTTACAGCTTTCAGCTTTGCCCATAGATCCCCCCCACAGATCCCTGGGGAACTAGGCAGCATGGCACCATATGGCACCCCAGAACTCACACTGGTTGATCTCCTCGGTAAGTCGCCCGTTTGGGATCCAGTCGTACCGAACCTGAGGTTCGGTCCGACCGGATCCCGAAGCGGGGTGCCCGAACGTCACAGCCATTTCGGTTCACATGCACCAGAGGCGTCGTCAACTCTTCTGAGAACGCTGAAAACGTGGGTGAAACCCGCCTTCGACGCGGAAACGGTCGCTGAAACGGTCGCTGACCGTTGAAACGGACAGGAGCCAACCCTTTGGCCGGTGGGACGGACAGATCGATGAATGTCTTTTGAGCGCCAGTCCTCCAAACCCAAATCCAGCACCCTGTCGAGAGTCCTGATCCGAACAATTCCAAAAAAAGGCAAATGATTTCAGTGATCCGAGTCTGGAATTGGGCATTTCCCTTACTTGGGAGGTGCTGAAACATCGTCGAGGCCGGAACTTTGGGGGTTGAGAGACCTGGTCCTCCCAAGTCTGCGACGGCGACATCCAATGGGCCAGGATCGCTGGGGGTTCGAAAACATCCATGTCTGGACTAGTTCCATACATTTAACCGAGGAAAGGGACCCGAATGTATGGATGGTCTGGGTATGGGATGGTATGGGACTACATGCCTACATTGAACCCCTTTTCAACCACCCCCTATTGCTGGACGATCAGGAGTCAACTGTGGGTTATCCAATGGTTCAGCACTTCACGAACCCCCTTGCTCTTGAGTGATCAGCAGCCTGGTCGGGTTGATGAGCTCTGCAGATGACATGGCCTCCAACCTAAAAGCAATGGCCTCCAACCTAAAAGCGATGGCCTCCAACATCTTGTTGACAAGATCACGTGAATCAAGAATATCCTTTAGGTTCTGAATTCTTGTGTCATTGGCCCACATGCTTTTAGAGCTCTGGTCGGGTTGACCCCTGTCAAGATGTGACCCATCTTGGGACACGCAAGACTTTGCCCGCAACACCAGCGCGAGGTAGGAGCATGGCCCCGGTAGATGAAAAACAACAGGAAACATGTAGTAAGTCATGGAGTCTGAGTTCGTACCTCCATGTACCTCCGAAAACGAAGATGATGGTACAAGTACCTTTTCTTATGGGGTCGTGTCCCATTTTTAGGAGTACTTTGACAATTTGAGGGTTCAGGTAGTATGAATAAGAGAAAAACATGTTTGGTTGCAGTCCTCTTATCATTCATGTGAAATTTCATATGTTCAGCATCCATAATAGTACACTTGTAGCGAGCTTTCTTGTGCTTATCATTTCCCCATCAGCCTGGCAATAGCACACAACTTGCTCCCAAGCTTGGATTGCGTCGTGGAACAAGCAACACCTGCATGGATCTGCATTTCTTCCGGCTGGTTTTCTGGATGACATCGGCAAATGTTGCACAGTCGGAAGATCATCCGGTCTGTTCCCCCCTTTTCCCCCAGTTGGCTTCAGGAAGAAACCATCCACCCTTTCCCCCGAAACCCAGCTAGCTCCACCCGGAATGGCACCTTGAGACCCAAAACGTGTCACCCAGTGGATCCCCTAAAAAGTGAAACACTATAACGACAGGGATTTTGTCAATGTGTTTCACTATGTTTCACTCAGTTCACCCTGCCAGCTCCTTTGGAATGTTCATGAATGTTCCACAAGCTTTTTTGGGGGGGGTTCAGTGAAAAAGACCGATGGAACCGTTTCGTTGAAACAGAATGTATAGTGAGATCCGTTTGGGATGTGAAACAATGTATGTTTTCCATGGAAGTCCAAGAGGTGGATGGACCTGGTGTTGTAGTGTAAAATCATTAGTAAAACAATGGTTGTTTGGTAAAAACCCTTAGTAAATCTACGTAATATATAACTCATTCACCAACGCCTAACAACCTTCTAGAAGAGACCAGTTGGAGGATGCTGGTTGTTATAAGCTGTGGATGAAATTGTCGTTTTCCCTCAACAGCGGGCGGAGCAAGCCTGTATTATGAAAGCTAGCGCAATCTTCACATGCCACGCTTTCCCAGAGTCAAGCATTGGCGTTGCTCGGCTCATTGCTCGGCTCATTACTCGGCTCATCAACAACCTCGGCTGAGAAGACCTGGACCCTCCATAGGGGACATGACCTACAAAAACATGCAAAAACAGGTGCTTGTACTTTGAAACTCCAGGGATGAACGACTTGGCTGAAGAGGCTTAAAGTCTGTGGTTTTGGGGGTTCCAGAATTCTTTCCTGGTGATCTCCGTTCTCGACATGCGGAGAACACTTCACCAACCCAAAATCTCCCAATCTACGTGCACCCGACTTCAAGTACCTTCGAAAATGAGACATAACTGGTTTACACATACAAAAGCCGCGGGCCGCTATACTAGTTTTATCTTGTTATAGGGGTGTCGACTCCAGGTACAGATTTGGGAGGTACAACGCATGCTGAATCGACTGACAGCTGTCAAACCCAAGGCCTGGTCCAGCTGTCAAACCCTCGGTGGTCTGATCCACCCCCAAACTGGTGGAAGACTGTGATGTGACCCGGCGACACTTAACTCGCACTGGTGGAACCCGCCGACACGGTCGTTGCCGTCCAACCATGGTTGTTTCGTGGGCAACAAACATGAAGTGTTAGAACCCTCAACCTGTGGTTGAATCCCTAGGGATCCAAGTACCTTCTCAGAAGGTACTTGGACCCTCCAAACCTACATAACAGTGCCTCCAATCACCTTCTGAGAAGGTA